CAAGTCCACTGTCAGATGCTGGGAATCATGACAACTACTATGGCAGACGACTTCGGACTAGGTGCTTTCTGCATAGTCGCCCTGACAACAAGACAAAGTTGCGACAACTAGGTCAACCCACTTCTATAGATCGAAAGGAGACTGCGACCATAACAGAGGCCACGACATCTTGGTCTTCATATATTGAAATAAGAATAGCCAAATAGCATGCTGCATTTTGTTATTGCATAATCAGGCATGAAGCCGCCGGCTTTTATTATGACAAAAGTCACACACTCCTCAACGGGCATTAAAAATGTTAGTACATATATAAGGTTATTAAATGATGCACATGAGTGAATATATAATATCCTGTAACATCCACCTTTTTGAGTGATTGAGAAGATGCCCAATGAAGACTGGAAAAACAGCCCAGACATCCAACACTTCCGATCTGGCATTCGCCTTAATCATACTTCTTCTTGCACTAACATGTATAATGGGCTCTTCAAGTCTACTGTCCTTATTTTGCTGAACAATCTCCCGCTATAGCCTACAGTGTATCCTGTCAGTTGGTGAGTGCGTTGCTAGGTAACTGGCCGTTGAAAGTTGCATTTTCTTTCGGCATCCGTTTGGCCTGATCCATCAAGTTCTGAAAGTTGTTGAGATCAAGCAGACTTTTGAACTGTATGGCCATGTGATATACGCCCTTGTTAAAGATGCGTAATAGCATCACAGGAGACTCTAGTGTCTCGACGAATACAATGGCCGTGACTATGTTGGGGAACTTGATGATTCGGCTGCCCAGGAGGGGTGCATGTTCCAAGGGGTCCAATGTAAAGTGGTTGGGAAAGAGTCGCATTTCATAATTGCATAACTGGTCCTGCTTTCTCTCCAAGGAGCGAATAACTTCAGTCAATTCTATGTGGTCCAAGTTAGAAGAGGGTCCGAGTTTTGGGTGCGATAAAAGACTGACCATGAAGAAGAGAAATGGCTCGACCTCACCAGCCATCTCGCGGTAGATACTTGGGTCTCCGTAGAAAGAGGTACCAGCTTCGAGTGGCCCGGCGCGGTACTTCTTGTAAACAGAATCGGATTTCTGAAGCTTTGCGTCCTGCACCAGCAAATCCTGGCTTTCGTAGTGGTTGAGAGCAGCTAGCAGTTCGACTACGTCGTCGCGTTTTTCCTGTGATGAAAAAGACATATACTCGTAGGCATACTCGGAGTTGTGCGCGATGCAGAGGACAACAGAAGTTGGATGAATACTCATCAGATAGAGCTCTTTGATTTGGTCGTTGCGGATCTGTGTCCATGGTGGCAGTACATTAGATTCGGCCCTGGAACTCAGGTTCGTGTAGCTGTTCCAGATTTCAATATCAAACGGTCCATTCGGCTGTCTGGAGAAGGCAGTCTTTGCCATTTCGTTGGCCTGGGAAGCGCTGAAAACATGATTCACCTCGAAGCTGGCCCTGTAAACCACCATCGTGGTGGTGCGAAGCCGACATCCGGAAATGCTGGTCATATTGCGGGTAAGTGGGATTTGATGGCCAATGAGTATGCTATTTGGAGACAGCAGGGGTCACCTCATTGGCAGAAGATTGCAAGAAAGCTCTGGATACCAGTAAAATTTTGTCTAGATGAAAGGTAGCAGGGTTAGAGGAACCAGGTGGAGGCTAATTTAGTGTGAAAAAGCATCAGCTCTTGAAATGTTGAGGCTAGAATACCGTCGGTGGTAAACCTTGTCTCCAAGTCAAGCCAAAAGATAGAGCCGACTATGATGCCTCGCAGAGATGGTCAACAGACACAAGAAAAGTGATGAGAGTAAAAGTTTAATGGTTGTTTAGATTCTGTTAGTCTGGAGAACAGTGCTATAGGCCAGGGGAGGCAAATTAGTCGAAGAAGCTGCTTACGTATGTATCGATTACCGGTAACTTATTGGCAGCACAATATCCTTTAGCTGGTCAAGCTGCCACGATGACAAGGGGTCTCTGGCCTCCACTTGAAATGACCCAATAGGGAGTAATAAATCGAATGAAGGGTCACTATGATGAGCGTTTTGGAGTCCCGTGTCCTTCGGAGTGTGGTTACTTAAGCGCCAGATCGTAAGCAAATTGTGCGTTCCACGAAGGCTTTGGATGTATGGATTCACTGGTATAGGCGGGGGCAAGAGAAAAGCGCAATCATTTTGTCAAATATCGTGTAAGATCGATATTTCAGAGTCTCTAATGATGATGATGTACTTTTTGGTGCACAACAAGTACCGATCCCGCCTTAAATTCCAGTCGTCTGAGTCGTTTGATTATGGTGTCTTGTTCCGAGTTTAAACTTGCTGGTAGCCCATTAAATCTGATTTTATTGTCTATTTTTAGACCTTGGCACAATTTCACAGCAACCATATGCCATTAGCTCAGCAAATAATGGTCAGCCTTAAAGCCGATTACTTGGAGCAGCCCAATTTTTGTGTACTGGCAAAGAATATTACCCTGTGAATACTCCGGTGCATCCAGGCGATAAAAGGAGTGCAAAAAAGAGTTACTATAGAAGTTAGAGTTTCCATAGGGTTGGAAGTGACATCCCATGAAAGATGTATGTTAAAAACTGGCATGGGCCCAAGCACGCAAATATCACAATTTGTATTCATCAAATACACTAAAACAGATGATACCTTAGTCGCTAGTTTAGGCAAATAGGGACTTAATTTACATATCAAAGAACTCGATAGTTGGCAAATAAGTTTAAATTACTTTCACTAAAGTTCAAATTAAGGCCTGTCTTTATTTCAATCCGGTTGATTTGCTGACGGTACATAAGACTCATTCTGGGTGAGAACACGCTTTCGAGATACTGAAATGAAGTATTTGACTAAAGCATCTCTACCTTTTAATTGATCATGAGCTGATCGATTTTTCCTGCAATTTTATTCATGTCACAATATATTACTAAGTAATTCTTTGAGACCCAGTTTTTCTTCACATAACAAGGCTGTAACTTTATTATTTGGTTCATCAGAGTTGCAGGAGAGTGAGCCAGTTTAAAAGGAGACTCCTTTACGGAATCCTTATAAACAACTTTTCCCTTATGCTAAGAGAATTTGGGTTTCGAGGAATCTCTTGTTTTATAATTGTTGAGTTTGCTTCCATTTCGAGTGAAAGTGTTGGGTGAAGAGTTTCGAAGATCGGTTCCACCAGAAGACGACGACGGATTCCTCTTGACCAGCTGTCGATTGGCTTTACTGGAAGATTCCTGCTGACGCTGTTTCTGAGGCAATCTCCTTCGATTCCGGTGAAAAGGTGCTAAGCTTTCGTCCGTCATATGACAGACATCATCAGAGCAAGGTATCATCGTCACAACCAAATTCAAGCTAACGAGTCAGGAAAACTCACCAACAAATCCCTAAAAAGTGGTATATATACTCTACATCCGGCCTCTTTGCTCAAGTATAAAGTGATCGAAGTTGACATATGACCTTAACCTAACTTTTTAGGGATTTGCCGGTGAGTTTTCTTGACTCGTTAGCTTGAATTTTGTTGTGAAGATGGTATCTTGCTCTGATGATGTCCGTCATATGACGGACGAAGACTTAGCACCTTTTCACCGGATTCAAGGGAGATTACCTCTGAAACAGCGTCAGCATGAATCTTCCAGTAAAGCCAATCGAAAGCTGGTCAAGAGAAATCCGCCGTCATCTTCTGGTGGAACCGACCTTCGAAATAGAAGTAGGCTCAACAACTTTTCCTTTAACCTAAAAGTAGTCACGATATTTTCTGATCGTTTCGAAGGATATGGATAGGAGCAAAAGTTTGTGCTCCAAAGCGGGTACTGCATTTGTTATATTAAGAAAAAATACATATTAACTTATTGTGACATAGCTTTTCATTTTGAAGGACAAATTGGTTGAAAGTGATGTGTGAATTAGTCTCACTCGAAAACGAAGGAGGATTGCCTTGGATTGAAAACCGTTTCCTGTTGTATTATGCAAAGAAGTCCTCAGCTCACCATTCTGCGGCCCGATGAACCCATGCTCAGCTTTTGTCAAGGCGAAAAAGCATACTTTATCAAACAACACACCAGATACAATAAGCCAAAAATAATGGTTTCCTTGTACAATTACTCTCACTTATTATGGATCCCATTCATACATCAACCAGCCTCCTCGACAAGAATGTAGGCTAGGCGTGAAATAGCCAAGCAAACCATGGGATGCATCATTAGGATTATAAAGTTAGGCATAGGAAGTGAATATGATTGCATCAGGCCCCTCTTATTTCTTGGATTATAGTATTTGTTGTGTGTTTTCGCAAACTATGTTTTTTTTTCTTGATAATATATGCAACAGGGCCAGCGAAATTTCAGAGCGGGTTCTTCGGAGTCGCAGGTTGGTGATCCGGTTTCAGGGGAGATCACTTCGCGAATTATTTCGAACCAACCTTTCCTGTCAGAATAAAGATACTGTCACTACAATTCCTGATTTTTTTGAAAGATATGAATATGAGCGAACATATGAACTGTCGTTGATGAACACCCTTGGTGATGAGACACAATTTATGAGAAACAAATAGTCACTCTGAGAAAAAAATTATTACGAGCCAATGACGGTCGGTCTTCTGTTGTTCGGCTCAAGAGTTCTGAATCCTTAAAATCCAAGTGTATTCGGCAATATTTATTAATAATACCTATCAAGGCAGCCACCCTATGGTACCATAAGAAAATATCCAATGAGTACAAAAGAGGGTAATCGCTTTCAATAATCTGTCTATCAATTTTTCCTAAATACATTGTCTCAATACGAACGGATAAAAATGTCGTTATAGGGACAGATTTTAGTCCCGAATAATTGAATAAAAGGCTTAAGCTTGCGTAAAATTAATCGGATCCATGCTCGTCAAGAGTCAGTTCTCGTCCAACTCGCTTCGGTCTTACTAGAATTTTAAACAGGACTCGAGCTTTGGGTGAGTTTATAGCAGTTGTTTGACCTTGTCTTCACAACTTGGTCATATTGACAGGAAAACCTAGAGGAACTGCATAGTATGCATGACAATCTCCAGAGTCGGAGCGTGGACTTGGTACATTCCTAGACGCTTCGCTTGCATCGTCAGTGAGCTTTGCCATACTTAGCATCATACTACAAGTCGCCAAAGTCAGAAGTGAAGTCGATGTTTTGACCAATTGTCTGCTAAACAGTTGTGGTATCGGCCCGAAACTGGAGATTATCATGCATCCTATGAAATCTGGACAAGGTGCATTCCTCTAAGTTTTCCTGCCAATGTGACCAAATTGCAAAGGACAGGGTCAAAAAAGGAGATTGTTACCAAAATAGAGGCCACAACCTCTTGGTCTTCGTGTCTACGTTTGGATGAGTGGCTCCCGATGATAACACTTTACCCTCTATGCTAATTGGCCCTAGCCCTGGCAAGTTTCATAAAGAGTATGAATTTTATGTCAATTTACACCCTTCAGGCGAAGTTTTCCATAGAGGTGTAATCACATATTGACATCAGGTCCTGATATGCTACTAAAATCTCAGATTTCTTTGACCTCAAGCAGCTTACTGATGGCTGTTGTGTGTACCGTTTTCACCTCGGATCCTGCACGTCTGCAGTGCAAAACGAGCTTGGAGTGCTAATGTTGTCAGGGTTAGACTGAAATCATTGCCTAGCTTTGATAGCTTTTTGTAATGCAGGGAATATATTAATTCAATGCAAAATCACAATTTCTTTTGATCCTAACTATAATAATTATCAATTTAAATTACACCATATAAAGCTGGTGCACTCAAGAGTCCTACCTACATATTTCATGTGAGTTTGTGATGAAACGACTCGTGGATAGATCTAATGAGAAAAAAGGACGAATTCTCTCTTCATTAGTTTGATTTTCCTAGGATGTGAATGCTGAGATACAATTTTTCGGTTTGGATGAGATTATGTTGAGCTTTCCTTTTACTTATGGCATATATTGAGATACTTTGAGCTTACTCTATCCTACCTGTTATATATTTAAAAAAATTATTTTGGGAGGTATAGAATTATGTATTATTATCGGTGTAATAGTTCACAAAGAGTCACTGAACCTTAAAGACACACCTTTTGAATTGGAACTCGGTTAATTCAGCATCCCAAGGTATGCATAAACGCACATACATACACATACCAACAAATGAACTAATGCCCTAGGGCAGCCTTTTTCGTCAAGCTTAGTTGGCAGAACCACACCATACGCACAACAGGTTTTCCATAAGTTTTAATGTGCCATGTGTACTGACCTTTAGAAAATGGATCTGGTGTAGATCTCTATCCGGAAATTGAGGGTATTAATATAGAACTGGCTTATTATTTGGCCAATTTATTCATAAAAGTACGTTTAAAGCTTAAATAGTTGGAGCTGAGGAGTTTTCACAGCAATACATTTGACTTTACCAGAGCTACGAATTAGTTTCCTAAAATTAGTTGAACTTGATCTCATAGCCTCCGAAAATCTTTTTTCTATCAACATTTGCAAAAATATTTTGCACAATTCTGCATG